GTAGGAGTAGGAGGAGGAGTAGGAGGAGGAGTAGGAGGAGGAGTAGGAGTAGGAGTAGGAGTAGGAGTAGGAGTAGGAGTAGGAGTAGTATTAGTATTAGTATGAGTATTAGTAAGTATTAGTGTTAATTAGTATCCGTATTAGTGTTAGCACTTGTGATAGTATTCGTCTGATCTTATGATTGTGGCGGGGGATGGTGGTTGTGGGGGAAAGGGGGGGGGTGGTAACCCACCCAAGCTTCAAGCTACCGCTCCCACAAGATTGAGAACTCTCACACTGTACTGCATATTCGGTTCGGTTTTCTGCACAAGAAGTGCACGGCATCCCTTTGCCTGAATACGGCATCTATGTCGCAGCATACTTTCCGGCCGACACAACGGCATCGAATGCTTCCGAGAGCGTGGTTTTGTGAGCAACCAGATGATAAAGGAAATCTAGGCTAGGTCCGTTCTAGGACTTTAGGATGCCCTGCTAATCCACAAAACTTGCATTCATGCCACAAGGGACCAAGCCATGACAAAGCAATGCACAAGCAATGCAATTTCCATTTGTAAGCAACGTCGACAAGCATATGAGCAATATTCGGCCTTTATCTCCGTTTCAGTGGAAGTTGCTGCAGAGTGTGCGGCGCAGAGAAGTGGATCCCTGCTCTGTGAATCGGCATGGGCACCTTGAATCATTGCATGAGGCGCGCTGTGCTCGGCTTTCTGATACTGCATTGGCAATGTCAGCTGCAGCTTACCAGCGTGCCTTGGCCCCGACCTCGGAATGGCGTCCGAGAGCTTCTGGGCTTGGCATGGCTTAGCATGGCTTGGCTTTCTCGCTCCGGACAGGTGTTGACCTGCAGTTGGCACTGTGAACAGCGCCTCCAGTCCTTCCTGATGACAAAGGCAAGGGCGGCAAGGAATTTGCTTTGTTCACGTTCTCGCGCAGTTCGTGCAGTCGCAGGGCAGCCCGACCGAGCGGTCCCGCTCCGAAGTCAAGGCTTGAAGCTGTTCGCACTCGTGGCTGTCCGAGAGGGCGTTTTCGTGAGTTGTCAGGAGCAGTCTTGTTAAGTCCACGAAGCCCGCCAAAGTCATGTCTTAGAGATGGCAGCTCACTATGTACAATACGTATACATATATATATATACATCTATACATATATATATACATACATACATACATATAACAGAATGTAATGAAATATAACATAATATAATACAATATTATGCATATATGTATATACACACATACACACATAAAACGTGTATGTATGTGTGTATATATATATACACATATACTGTATGCACATATATATATATATTACCCCCAAAAGTCTATGCATTCAATATGTTTTCAGCTCTTTCCACTCGCGATCATCTTCTCATGACCATCCTTCCACCCACGATCGTCTCCTCATGACCGCGCAAAACCCTCCTTCCAGTCACGAGTCTCAGATCATCTCGTCATGACAGCACAAACGGACCATGTTGAAATCCAATACGGCCCAATATTTCAATATGGTCTTGTGGAGGGCCACATCAAAATATTGATCCACATTGAGTTTCAATATGGCGTGGCGAATCCAAGATCCAAGATTCCCTAAAACTCTTGGGGAGGAAACTTGGATCACGGATCTTGGATCCGCCATATTGGAATTCCGAATGGCCTCTTTCATTATGGCTTATGGCCTCCCCGAATCCAAGATTCCTCCCAGGAGTCCTGTGCAATCTTGGATCTTCGATCAGCCATATTGAAAATTCAATGTGTTTCAATATTTAGATGTGGTCCTCTGCCCTTCTTTGGTATTGTTATCTCCGCGGCTCTTGTGACAGTCTGCATGCGCATACCTTCTGCAGTCTGCATGTGCATATCTGCTACATGTGTATAGCAAGTCAGATTGAAGAAATAGCGTCATTCACGTTGCAGCCCTTCGTGTCTCAAAACCGCTACTCCGCTTGGCGCGCTATTTCACATAATTCGGACATGTCGGCAACTTTACAATATATCCCAATTATCCGAAATGAGCTATTCCACACATAACTTGATTTAACTTGGATAATTTGGCTATTTTGAAAACCTTCCGAATTATCCGAAATGAGCTACTTGTAGGATTTCGGATAATTTTGATGTGCTGCGTTTTCCAAAATGAGGACACCTCTCGCAAGCACCAACTTTCTTATAGGCTATAGGGTAAATACAAGGCATGCCCGGGTAAATACAAGGCATGCAGGGAGTATCATATATAAGGGGTATCGTACCAGGTATTCTACAGAGTTTTCCAGATGGTACCTTATATAGCATGTATGCAAGGTGTTCTATAGCGCCTTCTATTGGGGTATTTTAGAGGGTATCCCATGAAGTATTGCATAAGGTATTCTGTAAGGTGTGTATACAGGAAGGTTTTCGACAAGAGTATCCTGCAGGCTACAGGGTCTTCAATAAGGTATATCTAGGGTATATAAAGGATGTTCTTTGAGGGTTTACCTAGGGTATTCTAAAGGTATTCTGCAAGGTATTCTAAAAGCAACTCGCCTGGATTCCTGATGTGTTTCATGCAAATCCCTCATTCAACAAGCTACAATGAGGACTGCGAAGGGTTGCTCGATACCAAACTTTGCGAAGGTCTTCCTTTCAGAAAATTGGTTCCATCGAATTTCTGTCTTCCGAAGGGTTTCTTCAGTACGTTGGTGCTATCCAACCGCTGTGTTATCCGTTGCAAATTCGGACAACAAACAGGGGTTTGATAGCACCAAATACTTTTGTGCGGAGGTGTCGATCCACAAAATTTGGTGCCATCGAACCGCTGCGTTTTCCGAACATGAGGGCAGCGAAGGGCGGCCCGATAGCGCCCCATTTTCTGCAGGGTGTCGCTTCAGAAAATGTGCTGCTGTTGGAACTTCTGCACAGTTTGTAGAAAGGGTGTTATGTAAGGCATTCTATAGGCAATGCTTCTAGATTCCCGGTTTCTTGCTTAACAATCCCTTATTCAACAAGCTTAAACTTACATGGTGTATTCTCGGATGTTGGCTCTTCGTGGTTTTCCTTATTTAAATCGTGATCCATCGGGTATGCTATAAGGTATTGTATACGGTAAACAAAGGGTATCCCAAAAAGTATTCTAGAGGATATTCTACAGTGTGTATGTATGTATGTATGTATGTATGTATGTATGCATATATAAGCGTCTCGGCTTGGTGGCCCCCTGGACAGTGTAGGGCCGAAAGCGACGAATGGCATGCGGCGGTCCATGGCGGGCTCCTCGTCGGACTCTTCTGAGTCTAGTTATGAGTTCTTTGACGCTATGGCTGATGATGATTCCGATGACGCTGCTGGAAGTGGACGGGAGAATGATGATGATGCGCGAGCACAGGCAGCGATCGATGCATCAGAGGCCCAAGCGGCTCGCAGACATGCCATCCGGGCCAGATCTATGGCATGGGTCAGGAACCAGGCTACGCAGCGACTCTGCTACCAATACCTGGCGCAGCAACTGGCGCGTGACGAGCTCAACCAGAGGCGCTCCACCCAGCTTTTGGCGTCTTTCCAGAGGAAGGTACAACAGCATAATGCTGACTGGATCGTCGAATTTACCTTGCCACAGCTGCCGACTCCTTACAGCGACAATTTGCGAACAGATCTGCAGATGCTGCGCGACATGTTGGACCAACCAATACCGTGCAATGACCTTGTATGGATTGCGGGTGTGGGCCAGGCCCACCACCCACCTCGGCCTTTGGTGCTGCGGAAGTTACAGCTCCTTGTCGTCCCGAGGCTGGAGAGACTCCTGCTTCTGGATCCGGCACGCGAGTATGCTGAAAGCGTCACCCGCTGCTTTGACCTCGGGTTTTATCAGGAGACGATTTCCAACGCCTGGCCTTTCCTGGACAGCACCGGACAATGTGAGTTCCAGACCTGGTTCCATCGCTACATCAATGGCGAAACTGACGCCCCCCTGGATCGAACCGGGGACTTGGAGGCATCAGCTTCTGGCCATGTATGACCAGCCCGGCGGAGAGGACCGCCAGCTGCCAATAGATCGTGGGCTGTATGTGCGTGGCCCTTCACAGTTGTTGCATCAAGTAGGCCATTCTTGCCGCCCTGGTCCCAAGTCCAGGGACCCATGCTCATGCCGACCGATGTACTTTCACACATGGACTTGGATAGCAGGACTGCTCGGTCATGTTGCGTGGGTAGACGTGAGGGTTGGGAGTAAAGTAGGTCGTCTTCTCCCTGGAGCCTGCACACTTCGCGTCCCGCATCTTCTAGGTAGGGCGAAGTTTCCTTACGACCCTGTTTTAGAGAACGTAGCTACCCAAGGTACCAACGTCCTCTCTGCCCATGATAATCAGTATCACCTTTTTAGTTTCCCGAACACTGAAACCCGCCATGCCCAGCATCACGTAGACTGCCGCATGCAGCAGGAGAGCCGAAACTCACCACACTGCCACGGCAATAGGCCCACAGTTTCGCTGCGAGGCCGTCCAACCCCAGAGCAACATGTCCTGGCACTGAGTGCATTACTTTGCGTAGGACTGCTAGTGCGTTTGTCAAGACCCTCCCTACCACAACGACAGTGGCAGACCTGCCGAGTGTTGCCAGGCACATACAGGAGACGAGCCGGCATGCCTGAGTTGAGGTTACCGTGTTGTGTCCGTGGTCCCGGGCTTTGTGTCAACGCAAGGCCTGTAAGCCGCCAGCACCGCCTTTGTAAGCTCCTAGTACGACGTGGTCCTGCTGCCAGTACTGACCTCACTAGGATGGTGATCCGCATAAGCCGCTTTCTAGTACTGTGTCACCTGTTTAGCTGCCTGTCTCGGGTTTCTGCACCCCCTGCTGTAGTCCATGAGCCCCAGCACTTGCATTCAACCTCGTGCAGAACAGGTCAGCCCGGGTCCCGTGTCACAGCTTTTGGTCAGACGGCAGTGCGTGTGTCACATGCGCGCAAGCGTGCTTTCAAGCGAGCCCAGCTACGTGCATGGCGTGATGGTGCCACAGAATACAAGGGCAGAATACATGACTCCCAAAGCTTAGCGCTGCAGTACGTAGGGGCCCATAATCCCAGACCTCCCTCTAGACCCCGTCCTGTCTTGACAGATGGTAATGTTAGGGTTGTCACGTGGATTTGCGGCGGACTGCACACAGGTAGGTATCACGAACTCTTGAGTTGGCTAGACATGGTCACGCCAGGGCAAGCCCAAATCGTATGTATCCAGGAGACCCACTGGCTTCGAGAATCCGAGTTTCTTAACGATAAGTGGCTTGTGATTGGGTCCAGCACTGGTTCATCGAACGGTGGCATAATGTTTCTAGTCAGCAGAGCGACATTTTCACCGGAATCCGTGAAGTTTTCTGAGGTCATACCTGGACGTGTCCTGCAACTACGCATATGTACCGAACCTCCACTAGATATGTTGGGTGTATATCAATACACGTGGTCACCTCAGAGCGGGGCTTCTGCAACGGACAGGTCGCAACGTCGCTCCGCCTTGCTGCAGCAAAGGGCAACAGTGTGGACTAGGATGCAGAATTGGGTTGCCTCAATCCCTCGCAGAAACACCCTCATGGTTGTAGGTGATATGAATGTTGGGGTTAGATCCCTGCACCCGCACGTTGGCCCTGGCCTAGCTTCACACAAGACGACACAATTTCCTGATCAGGAGTCCTTCATGGATTTTCTGCAGACACAAGGTCTAGTTGTGCTCAATTCTTGGGGTCGCAGGGGACGACCAGCGTACACCTTTTTGCAGCAACAGCAAGGTGGTTCGCAAATCGACTTTCAGATTACCAGGCTAGGCAGTGCTGCAGCAAACTCTCGCTGCAAGCCGTTACCAGAGGCACCGGTGGTGCATCCCACAGGCCTTAGGCACGTCCCTCTTGAGTGCTATGTTCCGTTACCGCAGAGACCTACAACACGGTCTTCGAAACCCGGCCTCACTGCAGCAGCGGTGGATAGGACTTTGCGCAGTGATGCTCAGATCGTAGAGAGGTTTCAGGCAAATGTGCGTAGTCGCCTGTGGGATGCCTCACAGCACGGTGGGTCTGCGAATCTGGAGCTCATCCTCAACGAATCCTGGACCGCAGCTGCGACCAAACAGGTGGCTGTGAAAGGATCCACTGTGCATAGCGGGGGCGCGGCAGCTGTGTCTTTGCGGTCCTTCTGGGACTCCAAACATCAATACAGGGCTCTAGCACACAAACTCCAAGAATACCGGTCCCCTGTTATCCTGTACGCCACAGTTGCTAGTAGTCGCACTCTAGCGCGGCACTTCCCTCGTGCCTACAGACGGTTGCAGGTTGTGATGCGTTATTGGGCGGCTGCTGCACGCTTCGCCAATCAAAATCGACAGCTGAGACGTAGGTGTCAGGAACGCAAAAAGCAGCAGGTAGAGGCATTGATCGCAGAGGCGGAGCTAGCCGACCGTAGAGGACTAGCCGGTGCCCAAAGGCTAGCTCGGAAGCTTGCGCCGCGCTCTCCCAAGCGCTCCATCCATTTTCGCTCGGCGCAAGGTTGTCTGCTGACTCCTTCTGAGGAGCTCTCTAGCCTGAAGGATTACTTCACAGAGCTGTACCAGTCCCAGACTCACCACCAAAGTGTGTATTACCTGCCTTGGCCAATGAACATTAGCCCCGAGGAGGTGCAGACTGCCTTGCGGTGTGTGTCTGGCCGGAAAGCCTTGCCGCCACAGCATGCGCCGGCCAAATTGTGGAAGCTTGCTTGTCCAGACATAGTCCCACATGTAACGCAACAGCTCAACGATCACCTTGGAGCTGGGGCCATCAACGTACCTATAGAGTGGAATCACACCTACTTGGTACTCCTAGCTAAACCAGGGAAGCCTCCCAACCAACCTGCCAATCTGCGTCCCATTAATTTGCTCCCCATGTTGCCTAAACTGCTAGCTCGGATAGCAGCCGTCAGACTTCAGCCCTATGTTAACGCTGCCCTTCAAGCAACGCCTCAGTTCGCATACGTCTCAACAAGACAAGCGAGTGATGCTTTAGATAGGGTAGTCTCACATTGTGTTCGAGTCAGAGAAAGGCTTAAGCAACATGCCCAGCGTGGCAAGCATCGCACCTTACACTCGTCAGCATTGATAGGAGGGATGCAGCTCTCGTTAGACTTAGCAAAAGCCTACGACCGGATGCCTCGTCACCTGCTTGCTCGATGCTTCTGTCGTATCTCAGCCCCAGATGAACTCATTGCCTTGATTTTGTACATACATGACAATGCCAGGGTTTTGCTTTCTCGACAAGACTTGTGGGATGAAGTGTTCATGGGCAGAGGAGTCAGGCAAGGATGCGGGTTATCACCACTACTGTGGATATCATTCACCTTGCTAATCTTTGATAGGTTGGATGCGTACCTTCCCAAAGATGCGCAAACAGGTTACGCTGATGATTTCCACATACAGTGGGATATCGATTGTCTCCGAGATTTCCGGAATGCCTGTTCTATCATTCCCAAAATCATTGCTGACCTGAAAGAACTAGGCATGGACGTCTCTACAGACAAAACTGTCGTGCTACTTGCGCTCAAAGGCACTCACTCACCACAGGTGCTACGACAGTTCACTGTCCAGCGAAAGGCTGGCCGAGTCTTGAGACTTCAGCATCCGGCAGGTGCCCTTTAGCTCCCCATTCGCAAATTCCATACATACCTAGGGGTTCGCATTGGATACTCCACTTTTGAGCGCGCTGCTTTACGGCACAGATCCGCACTGGCCTGGACTGCCTTCCACAGGCTGCACCACCTGCTCAAACACTCCAAGATACCCATCCAACGGCGAGTTCAGCTGTGGCAGTCTAACGTGTGGGCAGTGCTTCGCTACGGTTTGACTGCTGTGGGAGTTGACAGAAGTAGTGCCGGCAGCCTGGTGGCACAAGTCATGCGACAGCTTCGCATGGTAGCGCGCAGTCCAGCGCACTGCACGCATGAGCACAATGCTGCTCTCCTCGACCGCCTGGGTGTGGAGCACCCTCTCGCGCAGCTCCTGCGTCACTGCCGGAAACGCATTTCCGTTAGCAAGGGCTCCGTTCACCACCTTCAACCCCCAAGGGTACAACAATGGTGGCAGGTTCTCCTCAGCTCCCTACTGTCTCTTTCGAGTAGTGACCAAACGTATGGGAAGGGCAGTCTGACTGAAGTAACACAGGTGCTCCGCATGCGTAGCAGTTGCCCGCACTGTGGCCAATACTTTGATAGTGCACATGCAGTCCGGGTTCATATCGGCAAGTCACACAAGGACAAAGCTCCACCGAAGGAGACCAACCCCACGGTAAAGAATGCTAGACGGGATGAGTTTAGAGTTCATGCGAAAGATGGACAACCCCAGTGTAGACACTGCCCTCTACGGCTGGCCACAGTTCACGGCATTTTTCGCAGGCTGCGTGTCCCGTCTTGCATTGTCCTAGTCGTAGTCAGCCCGGTCCTCTGCAAAGTGATGTTAATTTGCAACGTCGAGCAAGTTCGGACCATGCCACGTTGCACCACGAAACTCCCTCCCCTGCTTATGGGGCGCTCGCGCCGGGGGGAGGTGACCCAGCACAGTCCGATGAAAGTGAGATAGGTAAGCCTCTCTTCAGTTGTATCCGTTTTCAACACTTAGCAAGGACCGGAGACCTAATGACGCTTGCCGGAGAACTGCGAAAAGGCGATCACCTTCTGCACTGCCCAGAATGTTTTCAGAAAGTGACCAAACCAACATACCTCGCTAGACATGCAGTGAAAATGCACGAAACAGTTCAGCGTTACCAGACCGACGTCCTGCGCTGGGTTCAGAGCAAGCACAGCCTCCAGAATCCGTGCCAGTGGTGCGGTGCTGCGTACCAGCGCTCAAGTGCCCACCTCAAAGCATGCCCTGTCTTGTGGGTCATCGGGCACTTTCTTGCCAGATTCTCCACCTTGCCATACTCAGGTCAGCAGAAGCTTGTGCAGCATGGTTTCGGTGCCCACACTCCTCTCGGCAGCAGCGGAGGAACAGTTAGCAGAGGCCAAGGCGGAGCTAGCGGACTTTGGCCAGCTGATGGGGCAAGGGACCACACCGGCCCAGTGTACCGGCGGAAGCCTCCACAGCCAACCCGTCCCCGGCACAGAGCGAGCTGGCGGAGGACACCCAGGACATGGAGTGGGACAAGGACAAGAGACGGGCTCGCTCAGACAACCTGGAGGGGCAGCCAGACCGGTCCAAGTGGGCCAAAGGCGAGGCCAAGGGCGCGGACAAGCCGGACCGACCGGACGACCAGGCCAAGGCAAAGGACGAGCGCTGCCGACAGACAGCGCGGCTCTCCCGGCGGGCAGCGGCGGACACACAGACGACACTGCAGCGAACAGAAGGGAACAGGGCAGCGACCTCAGTACCGACAGTGGCCCAAACAGGGAGGCAACGGGGGACGCGACTGGACTCGCCACGAGAAGAGGTCGGAGCTGAAGGAGATCGTGAGTGCCATCGGCCGATTGCTCAGGTTGGAGGACACCCAAGCAGTGATGAACTTAGACAACGAGTTCGTTGTTTTCCTCCAAACGTCGGTCACGGGCAATCCGTGGTCGATAACGACCGCGCTCTACGATGTCGCATGCGAGTGGCATGCCAAGAAGGAGCAAAGTCCGACCAGCCTCTCGCAGCCGATGCGAAACGTCCTGCTGTTCTGCATGCTCAAGAGCCTGCAGGACAAGTTGGAGGAAATGGAAACCAACTCGACCCTGGTCGAGCAGGCGCGCACCAGAGGTCTGGTAGAAGGGACCAGCTACTTGTTCCTGCAATGGGACGGCGAGGCCAAGAAACACATCAAAGCCACGCAGGAGCCATTGGAGCACAAGGAGGCCATCGAGACGGTACGCCAGCTGGTCCTGCTGACGGCGTATCCCAACGTGGTGGGCAGGTTCCATGCTACCCGTCGCCTGACGGGCAGCATGGAGTCCGAGATCGTTCCCTTCACACTCGTGCTGCAGAACCGCAGCGCGGAGAGCCATCGATTCCATGCCCTGTTCTCCAGATTGGCCAGGAACAGTTGCTGGCACCTCATCGGCTCAACCATGCGGCCATCCAAGTTGGGACGCAGTGCCCTAGCCCAGCTGTTGGAGAAGCTTCTCCGTCAGCTCTGAGACTTCAGGCGGGTTCCACATTCGGGTTGATTTTAAGCAACTATAGTTCCCATTGCTACGCTAACTCTGTCATCCAAGCCATCATGTGGAACATTGAGTGTGCACCAACAGGAGTTGAGCTTGCCAGCATATCTGTGCGCCGATTTTTGCAATGGCTTGTGCACAAGCCTCAGACAGTTGCGTTGTGGAACTTGCGTGCTTGGAATTCCCTAGTCCATTCATGGAGCATGCCACATAGGCAACATGATGCGGCAGAGTTTTTGCAGCAGCAGCTGTCAGCAGCCGCGCACCCGGATACTCTAGCGTACTCCTGGCAAGCGCGTGTCCAAACGGACGATCATTGTGTCCAGGTGGTTGATCAGGGAAATCTGTGGCCAATGCTGGTTCAGGTGCCGCTGACGTTGCCAGGCGCTCAAGACCAGCAGCCCCGAAGCATCCAGTCGCTAATAGTGTGCTGGCGCAATCAGGCTATGCGACACGCACTTACTGCTACCCCGCCTGTGATCTGCTTGCAACTCTGCAGATTTGACTCCCAAGGGTATAAGATTAGGTCCCCTGTCTCCCTAAGCGCCGCGGTTTATATCCCAGTGTTTGTAGGCCCTGTTCACTGGTCTTGGTACCACATCCAGCAGATACCTTGTGCATTCCGTGGTTTATCATCTTGGCGAGTCAAAGCACAGTGGACACTACCGGTGCGGCTTTCTCACAGGAGGCCTCTTAACACACACTGCAGATGACAACAAAAGCGCTCGAACTGCAGTGCCCTCAGACACAAGCGAGGTCTGTGAGAACGCATACCTGATCTTCTTGCATAGGCCCTCAGTGTGACATGTACAGTCTTCGTTTGACACACTCCTGAAGCGGGATAGTTTTGTTTAATTTTTCATGTTATTTATGGTCATTTCTGTGGTTTAGGGTGGTTGATCGTGCTTCACAGGAGTATCGTCTTCAGTCAGCCTAGTACAGATCCCTCAGGGGAGCAGCAGACATGCCCCAACCGGTCGCTGAAGGGGCGGACCACGCCGGACCGGGAGTCATACCGTTTATATTCCGTTTCTACCGTTTATTTATCGGTTTGTTCAGTTTTTCATCTTCTATTCCGGGGCATCCTACTGACGAGTAGGGCAGAGGGGCGCTGGAATATCCAGCGTGCATCCATCGAGATGCCGGCAGCTTGTGCCGCCTTTTTCGCAGCGCGGATCCTTTCGCGGCGGAGGAAGAAGAAGAAGTATGCATATATGCATATATATATATATATCTATATATATATACATACATGTAAATAAACAAATAGATAAATAAACAAATAAATAAAAACTAAATAAATAAATATATATATACACACACACACATACATACATACATACATACATACATACATACATACATACATACTGTACATATTTTTTTCCCGAGGGGCTGCGCCCACGGGCGGGCAGCGCACTGATCAGCACGGAGCTAGCCGGGGGCGCGCGTGCACCGCCCGCGACGCGTGCCTGGCCACCTGCCCCGACTCTTCTTGTGTCCGCCCCGCCACTCGATCCCCGCTGCTAGACGCCCTTCGATGATCCCCGCCCCTCTGTCCACTCTGTCCGCCACACCCCGCTGATGCTGATGATGCGCGCCCTTTGGGGGCTTCTGCAAACCCCTCCGAAAATGGCAAAACGAAGCCTGGAGCAAGGCCACGCGCCCCCCCTTCGCCAAACCCCGCTGATGCTGATGATCCGCGCCCGTTGGTATGAGCCGAACCCCGCTGATGCTGATGATGCGCGCCCGTTGGGGGCAGCCCTTGCCTGGCGCTCAGTGGACCGCTGCGGGCACTCAGGGCCGGATGCCATCCTGGGGTCGTCCACCGGGGGTTCCGAACCCCGCCATACTGTGGGGAATAGCTGCAAAACGCGTGCATTGCCGGGTGCGAAGTCCTGCGCGGTCCGGTGAAAAACGAGGGTCCGATGAAGCAGGGTCGGCGGCACTGGCGGTCGTGCCTTTTGTGCTAAAGCAAAGCTAGCAAACTGCACTTCAGCTAAGCCTCGAACTCATAGGACGCATGCGTTCGGGGACGGAGTGCTGGGGCTGCGCCCGGAGTCGGGCAACGCAGGCACGTTTCAGGGCGACCATCCCAAACCGCGAGAAGTCTGGGACCAGACTTCCCAACCCGACCCACAGACTCTTGGTCTCATTTTTATTTACCCATCCATTCGTCATTCAATCATTCATTCATTCACTCATTCATTGGGCGGGGGGCAGGGAAGGACGTGCGCCCTTTCTCCTGATCCCTCTTCTGCCCTTCCCACCTTGGCCAGCATGCGTGCGCGCGTGCAAGCCCCGTCCCGCTTGGTTCCTTGTTTCTGTCGCCTTTCTGGGCAGCATCAGTGCGCGCGCGCGGGAGCCACCTTTGAGGCCTTCCAGTGAGCATCATCAGCATCATTGCGCGCTCGGGGGCACGAATTTGAGGCCTTCCGGTACCCCTCCCGACCTCCGAAAACATCGGCCTGCGCCTGATGGGCCGCTGCGCGCGTGCGCCGGGTGCTCATGATGCTCGCCGCCTCCCGCCCAGGTGTCGCCCGCGGGTGCCCCAAAACAGGCCATTCCCCGCGGTACGCCCGCAAAACGTGTGCGTGGCCGGGTAAATCTCCCAACCAGGTCCTGCGCGGCCCGATGGAGAAACGAGGGTCCCATGATGCAGGGGTCGGCGGCATTGCCTTCCGCTCCATGGCTAAAGCCAGGGCCATGGCCTGCGGCAGCAACCCCAGCGCGTCGCCCGATTCAAGGGCCGACGCCGCTGCCGCCGACCCTGGCAAACTGTGACCGGGATATGGCTTCATGTCGCTCGCTCCCTCGTAGCTGTGCCATGATAGCACACTTAAGCCTCTGAATACACTGAAAGAAATGGCTCTTTACAGCCACGCAAAGCGTCGACACCGGGAACTGGCGTCGGAGAGAAGGGGAGGTGGGGGGGGGAGGTAAAGCAACATGGAACACCGGATAAGGTCGGTGTCCTGCTCAAAGCCATGCCGGATAATGTCCGTTTTTGTCTTGACTTATGTGCAATGTTTTGACTCTGTCCATGGCAACGGCACCGAATTTACAGGGAGAAGCAGAGATCAACCTCATCAAGGTGCATATCGGGGTAGAGGAGGAAGGCTGGCGGGAGTAGGTACCGGAGGGGGACCGGAGGGCTAGAGAGGGGGGGGGGGGGCAAAACGGGGTTGGGTTTGCACAGGAGGCTGAAGGAGGTATAGGGTGTGTAGAAAATCGTGTAAGGGCATGGGGAAAGGTTAAGCGGCTTCCCCGGCGCTAGCCCCCACAAGCGGTACGCACTCGAGTACGCGTACCAAGTTTGAAACACCAGGTACTAGTCCATCTCACTCTCAGATGCTGTGCCAGGTACCGACACCACAAACAACGAGAGTACAAGATCCCAATATGAGCTTGGCTCTCGTGGGAGCTGATATGTGTAGTTTTGCCTGAGGTCTCGAACCGTGAACCGAGTACAGGGATCACGAACAGTTAGAGAACTGGGTCTTCCTGTGCAGCTCTCTCGACCCAGGGCTGAGCCGGAACCTGAAGACTCGGTCACTGCCTGGGCGCCAGCTGCAAGGTTTCTGCTGTCTGAGACTATGCTTTCAGCTGGAGTGCACCTGGAAGTGATCTGAGGTTCTGGATGGATCTGCGCCAGTACTGCAGGCGCCAGCAGAAAGTAGCCGTCGCTCACCATTTCCAACTAGGTGCAGCTTGAGAGTACCACTGTTGAAGCCTGTTGTGACTTGTCGTGCTGAGTGCACAGCGCATCGCCCATGTTACGAATGCTGGAGTCTTGCAGGACTCCAACAAGGTCGATCTGACTGACGATAGCGAGGCACTGTGACAGGAGTTTTCGCTCCCGTCAGGAATAATCAGGATTGCCAACATTCAAGGCAACGTCATTGGAAGTGCTTGTAGACCCCACGGGCTTGGTAGGTCCGTGTGGCTGTGTACGACTACACACCGGCAGAAGGAGTTGAGGCTGGACGCACACCATTGTTGCATACGGCAACAGTGCACGACACGTTGTCCATCGCCTCTGTATTCCTGTCCCAACATTTGTGAAGCTTCACCCAGACGAGTTGACACCGCTCTGGAGACCACATGTTGTCAGCTTGCCACGGTGCAGGGCCAAATCGCCATCTGCAAGGGAGATCTCCTGAAGGTCTTCAAGGCTTTTGGTGCTGGGTGGCATGATTCCCACTTTCGATGCAGCGTTTGGTTAGGTGACCGAAACTGGTTGGGCTGCCGGGGTGAAAACCTGTCGGGCCCTCCACCAACTGCCAACACTCGTTTTGCGGACTTCCGCGGCTCCGAGGCAGAGAGACCAAGGCGGACATTGGGGAGGTGGGCTGGTTCCCGGCCGGCTACCTCGCCGAGGAGCTCGAGGAACACCTGCCAAGAGCTCGGTGCGGGCGGTGCATTGTGGCTGTGGGTGTGTGTGTCCTTGTCCTCATCGCCACAGCGACCGAGGTGAGGGGCACTGTCGCCAGCGGCCGCGTCTTGTACTTCGTATGCGTCACAAGCTAAAGCTGAAACAGCTGGAGCTCGTGGCTCCGGGCTGAAAAGATTCTGTTCTGCTCTCTTGTCAGAGAGCAGGTATACTATCAGTGCAGTTTCACGTCAGCTTTAGCGAAAGCATTTGGGACGACAACAACACGAAGATACGGGCTGCTTGATTTAGATGTTGGGAGTGCTTTGGTGTGGTTTGTTGCTTGTGTCCCACGATGTAGGGAAGAAGGAGTGGAGAGAACCCCATGGGTTCTATGTGCTGAACGAGACCGAGAACGGGCTGGCACTAGCTGCCTGTTCAGTGCACGATTGCTTTCCCTGCTCATCATTGCAGCTTTTTCCGCCTTTCCGTACAACCTAATTGCATGCAGCATGCGGATGATCTGTTTGTTGCCCACAGGGCAAAACAGTGCAGCACAGGAAGGGCGCAAGAAGGCTGAACAAATGTGTGGCGGCAAGATGCTTCGTGCCTTGTACTGTAGCCTGCATTGGCTCTCGTGCCCAATGGCCCCGCCATGTCTCGTCGTTCTGTTCGCACCCGATCAACCATTGGCTCGAAAGCGCCGTTTCGTACCCCAGCTTCGAAGTGGCGGAACTCTGATGCTCAGCCGCAGTGGAAAAGCCGCAAGGTCAAGGTGTAGTCTGTAGGCCGCTGCCCAAACCCTTTGTCACGTTGAAAACGTCGAACTTGTGCCGTCTTCTGGTCCGATCCATCGTGCATTGTGATACTGTCCAGTATGTTCGACATGCACTCTCCCGACTGGGCACTGCAAGTACCAGGACCAGTCTCCGTCCAGGCTCTCTTGGCGGCCTCCAGGACATGCCCGGACCCGAGAAGAATCAGGTGAAGACCGTGAAGTCAGGCGCAGAGGCTTCTAAGGCTCTCGCAGCTGAAGGGACTTCCCCGGCTCACATCAAGTCACTGCATGTGCAGAAACAAGAACAGGACCTCGGCCAAAGATGACTGAGTTGGGCCAAGCGTTGGTTCTACACCAACTAATTGCAGCATGGCACCGCAATCATCGCACGGCTCTAGTGATGGCATAGTGCCGACATTGCCTGCTCGGCTGTTGGCGATGGCCGACATCTTGGAACTCCCAGAGGCACATGAACGGGCAACTGGCAGGGTTTTATGTGATCACGAGCTTCTGTCCTGCTGCAATCTCTGTGTCTCGCTTTGCTTTGCTTGCCAGCATCCAGC